TCCTGTATAATCAGTTTTTGCTCGATATGCTTTTATGTCTGATCACTTAATGTTAAATAATAACAGCAGTAAGTTGAACTGACTGAACCAGGCCAAACATGAATATTTCAGCTGAAATAATTTTATAATATCTTATTATTAAGAAAGAGGCTAGGAATATCACATGTCAATCCTCTGAATAAAATTCGATTTAAAAACTATTTTTTCAAAATAGCTGAATTCAGAATAATTTTTAAAAACCCGAGGAGAATGCATAGCCTACAATAAGATGAAGGGGTTCTGAATTCTCTTCCAGTAAATAAACAGAAAGATCTAGGAATCTGTATCCACCAAACAGTTCATATTTTGAAGCATGTAAACAAATAAACACCTCAAATTGGAGCTCGGTTCTGCACTGGCTTTCAGTCTAAACCGGTATGAACAGATACCCTCTCTCCTGAAATAACGCACACCACTGAGTTCCTCTGATCTCGCTCTACTCAGTGTTGTTGTGGTGAGGTGCCATCAAGTTGGTTCCAACCCATGGTGACCCTACGCACAATGGAAGGAAACACTGCCCGGTCCCGCGCTATCCTCAGAGCTCTTCCTAGGCCTGAGCCCATTGTTGCAGCTGCTGCGCCAATCCACCTCATCCATCTCATCTCATCCTTCTTTTTTGTTCGCTGTTCCTCCCCTTTACCTGCATGATGCCCTTCTCCAGGGATCGGTCAAACCTCACAGCATGTCCAAACTAGGTAAGATGAAGTCTGGCCATCTGGTCTCTAAGGAATACCCTGGCCGTACTTCTTCCAGGAGAGATCAGTTTGTCCTTTTGGCAGTCCATTGGTTCTTTTCCGTCTTCTTTATTCAACATCCAACTTCCACATGCATCTGAGATGATTGAAAACACCACGGCGTGGATCAGGTCCTCAAAGTAGCATCCTTGCTTTGATTGACCCAATGCAGCCTGTCATCTGATCTCTTGGCTGCTGCTTCCATGGGCACTCATTATGGACCCAAGCAAGATGAAATGCTCGACAACTTTAACTGTTTCTCTATTTACCGTGACGTTACATATTGGTCCGGTTGTGAGGGTTTTGGTTGTCTTCGCACTGAGCTGTACTTTGCACTGAATACTCAAGGCTGCAATCCTCAATCTCGATCAGCAAGTGCTTTATCAGCAAGTCCGCCTCACTTTCAGCAAGCAAGGTTGTCATTTGTCGATCTCAGGCTGTTGATAAGCCTTCCTCCAAGCCCGATGCCCCATTCTTCTTCATATAGTCAAGCTTCTCTGATTATTTGCCCAGCAAATAAGCAGCAGTAAGCCTGGTGAAGTGGCAAGTCAGCCTGCCCCCAGCTGGTGAGGTGGGCAGGGCCAGGGCATGAACTTGGGCCTCTAGAGTCCAGCAGCAGAACGGGCTTGTGGACCCTCATACCAAATGAAGCCACTAAACTCAGTTAAGCTTGTTTGAGATATACCCCCTTCTATTGAGTGTTTATTTCAAAATTTCAGTTTTGACAGCATAAATCTATCATGAGGGGCAGTTCTACTCGGTCCTCTAGGGTCTCTGAGTCAGGAGGGGCTTGATGCAGTGAGTTGTTTCTTAAGAACTACAATTCATAACCCTAAAAAACAGGTAACTTCAATTCCTTCTTGGAAGCTAACAGTCTAGTTTTTAACTGTGAAACTGCTTTGGAGATGAAAATATCATATATACCTCTGGTATGTAGATACCATGGCATATGTATAGGCAGATGGTATATTACTATGGTATATAAGGAGTGTCACAAAGTTCATGAAAAATAGCCATTGTCCATTTTTTTGAGGGCCCTGTGCATATTGTTAGTAGCTGTTGAGTGGATCTTGACTCATGGGGATCCCACGTGCACACAGGAGGCCTGCTCCATAGAGTGTGCAAGGTTTTCAGAAGCAGGTTGCGAGGCCTGTCTTGTAAGGTGCCTCTGGGTGGGTTCAAATCACCCATCTTTCAGCTGGTAATTTTAAAAGGTTTATAAACTAAAGCGATTAACCTGTCTCACTAATGATACGGGTAAGTCTGTCTGCTTTGGTGGTAATCCACTTTGTATTTTTATCAAAATTCTAAGCCAGTTATTGGAAATACCAAGTGTGTCACAAAGAAAGTTTAATTTCGAAGACATGCGATCAAAGGTAACTTTGGAAAATAACAGGAGATCTGAAAAGAAAACTTCAAAATTGTGAATTAAAAAGAAAAAAACTATAAGATAGATGGCACGATTTACTTCTTCCACACTGCCTATCCGGCAGAACCAAGGAAAGAAAAAAGTAGAATCCACGCCGGATGCCAAGTTGCCTGTCTAACGCACACAGCTCACATAGTCAGAAACCACAGGAGAGGGACGCCTCCTCCTTTACTTGGAAAATTGTGGAGAAGCCACAAATCTCTTTGAAAAATGCCCCAGTGGTAGATAATGTGTACCAATGTGTAATAAAGTCATCACTGGGGAGTGAAATAAAAGTGAGTGAGCTACATCTGTGCTCTCTGTGCATGATCTTGAGTGGCCCCAGGGACATAGCAGCCAGTGTACAGGCTTCATAGAGCAAGGGCTGGGCAGGGCAGGGAGCTGGGGACACGAAGGAGAACACCGGTGAGCAGAGAACCACTGTCCACATGGCCAAAGTAGGCACTTTAAAAGGTGCGTTGTATGGTACGTGACTCACATTTCACTACAAGAAGTTGGAGAAATGGAAAAAGGGGAGGAGGAGGAGAGGGAAGGAGAGAGATAACCGGGGAGGCAAAGGGAAAGAGGGAGAGCGAGGGAGGAGCGGAGGAAGGGAGAGGAATGGAAAAGGAGGGAGATGATTTCCTTAGTGGCGGAAGCTCCTCTCGCTGTGGCTTGTCTTGATTTCTGCTCGCCCGCCTTTTCCCACGTGACGTGCCATCATATGCAACAGATTTTATGACTTTCTCCTGCAACACCAATCACTGAGCCTAGGACGTTGAACTTGACGTTCTGATCACTCTCATTTCCTCTTGGTCCTTCCTTTCTTCCTCTGCTCGCCCTTCCCCTGCATCCGAGAGGGGATTTCTATTTCCACAGAGCTTTTAATAGTCTGACCCATTCCCTGAGACAAAGGAAAGGGAGCGAACGTTTGTCAACTGCCTGGTAAATTCCCTGGTTCTTCCGGGTCCGGGACACCCATTCTCCCATTCGATTCTCAAGCTGTGGTGGTTGTCAGTTCTGACTCACAGCGGCCCATGTACAGCAGAATGAAACCCTGTCTGGTCTTGCTTCCGGCGTCCTCCCCCCAATGGTTAAGTTTGAGTCCATTGCTGCCGCCACTGTGGCAATCACTGTAGTGAAGATCTTTCTCTTTTGCATGATTCTCTACCAAATACGATGTCCGTTTCCAGCGACTCGTCTGTCCTGTTCACACACCACCCTCCCTTCGAAGGAGCACTCTGCCTGTACTTCTTACAAGACAGATTTGTTAGCTCTTTTGGCAGTCCATGGTAC